CCCATAATAATTTTGAAAAAATGTGAATGCCTTCTATAAAAAACAAGCAAAGGGGAAAAATGGATTAAACAAGAGAAAGAAATCACCAAAGTTAAAGCATAAATACACGTACTCAAATGCTTGTGGTACCACAAGAGTTCCCATAGCTATCATGTTTGCAAAAAATGAAGTCTGGAATAATTTATCATCATTTTAGTAGCTCAGTTTTCTGAAAATTTTCAGGTATCTTCTTTTATTTTCTCTTTTTATTCAGCCCATCCTAATGAGGTCATGGAAGCAATCCAATACCAAATAAGAACAAAATGACCTTAGTATAACAGTGATGGGAAAATTAATCCAAAATCCACACTGAGGAAATACTGTTACATGCAATTTTAATTTGCTGTAATTTTACTCCTAAGCAGGACAGAGTGATCAAGGATCCACAGAGATTGGATCTGCGATCCAGACGTAAGTCCATGATAAAAGATAAATTATTAATAATATTCTGTGTATTGCTGATATACCCGTCTCATGCTTGCACAATCATGAAACCAACATGACCCATCTTTGTGCAGTTCGTGGACATTTAGCTGTGTGTGTAGCTACTTCAGGGATATTCCTATTTGGAGAACTCCAAATGTTTACACTTCTGGCAGCCTCCTTTGAACTTTCACAGCTGGGAAAGGTCTTGTTATCTTGTTGGCAGTTTGGGGCCATACTTTTTCTCTGCAACTTGCGAGAAACTTGTCTCTTGTTGTGAGAAAGCTGTGTTTGTTATTGTTGCCCTTGATACACTGTTTTGTGACAAAATATCTTTTTGATATGAGAGCATTGTCTGTTGTTGGAGTTTTTTAGTGCATTCTCATAACAGGCTGAGAAGTTTACTTGTGAACTTTCCTTGTAATCAGTCTCTGCAACAATCAGAGACCATTTTCTTGTTGACAACCCATATTATAACCTTCAAGTTTTGCTGACTTTATCTACTTGTGCTGATTACCTTGTCTATTGACCCAGCCTTGCTCCTCTGCTGTTTTCTGACATCTTATTTGCCTTATTTTAGGCATTTAAAATCTATTCACACATTAAAACAGCTACATGCCAATCAGCTTCTGCTATATATAATGGATC